CTCTAGAACATGGTAGTACTCTTCGTGATCAACGACATAACGTGGTAACTACAAGTAAGAGTGACTCATTTTTAAAGTGTTTTTAGTGCAATATAGTAGTAGGCCTATACAGAATATTATGAAAAAAAGTTTTCATGAAAAATCCAGATACACTACAATAATACACACATCTGCATAATATTGAAGAACATAAGATATAATTAAAAAAACAAAAAAAAAAACTCCTGTATAAGGCAGTAGACACACCTTATTTTTACGTTAATGTTTATTATTACATTAGTGTTTGATTATTACATTAGTGGGTGATATACCATTGGCATTACTATCATTCATTATCACCATCATCATTAAAAGTATATCATAGTATGCAGAAAAGGCTGCCTTTTAAAAGATGGATATGTGCAACTCATAAAAATGACATAATTATTATTATTTTATTTTGCATAAACTATTAGCTCTGACTTGGATTAATCCTGAGATGATTTGCTTACAATTTAACGTCACCAACTCCACCCTTCATGGCTTGTTGTCTTGGGAAAAACCGGTTTCATCTACTGTTGGTATGTTCAGTATGTTAATCTTTTGTCCAGTTATAAAAGTCAGGACTGGATGTTGTACAAATAATTAGTTTATCTGGTTTGACATACAGGTTTAAATACTTTTGATATGTTTATATGAAATTACTTTGTGAAAGACCACAACATAACGGCCACTATATATTTCATAGGACTGTAGACGCAAAGAAAAGACTATAAGAAAACACTGATATATTGTTTTATTTTTACAAAAATTCAAAGCTCAGCCAAATGGACCACCTCTTAAGATGTCCATCGTTTACAGAGCCTTCCACAAGAGAGGATTTGACCATATTGTCTCCGCCCAGTTTTGTGCCAGGAAGTAGGCAAGCACCTAAAAGATCTTACAAATAATATTATCATTAGACAGGCCTGTAAGTAGGGAGGGGTTCAGAGGGTGCGGACATACCACACTAACAAAATTTTAAATGGTCCACCTTTTTAAAACTATTATTTCACTAAAATCATTCCTAATCATTGCGAAATGCTATGCATTGCATTTTATTCGCCTAACGACTGTGGTACGAAATTGCTACGGTGATTGCAGATTGATCCATATGTTCAAAAAGCTATGTTTCATTATAGGTATTATGGCTGTAAAACGCATATGGAACATTATTTCTTCTGGTCCCTAACACCCAAATGAATTATAATTTAAATAGAATCTTCACAAATTATGGGTTTCAGAAATCCTAAGGCTCGTATCGCTTGCAAAATTGCACCCCCATCCAAAATCCTGTCTATGCAGGCCTGTTACGAGACTATTCGTATAAGGTGTTGGTTGAATGAAAACAAAATTTGAAAATGTAACAATTACAGTACACTGTATTTTGCCATTAATGCTGTTACACAGTGTCGTAAACCTGGGAATTTTTTTTCTCTATAGGTTTTGATGGATATATTGTGGATTATGAAAGTTATCCAAATACACTGTCAACATCAACTGCAACCTGTGTAATAGCTGAGTCTGATTTGTATGTGGTAAGTTAATTAATATTTCAGTTATTTATCATAAATGATGTCTAATAACATTGACTTCTTTTTTTTTTTACTCATAATTGTAATTAAATAAACTTTTTGTAATAATAAATTTATTGAACAAGGTGCAACAGAAATTTTTAAAAATTTATTTAGCTTTTATACATGATTTAATACAAAATATTGATAAATTGCAATTTGAGAGAGCCTCCTGACCTAATGAATCAAAAGGAATACGATGAAGTTTTTGCCATGAATCCTGAAGTTTTCTTCTGCTTCCATCAATGTTTTTTTTTTTTTTTTTAGCCTCATTCAAGGACCTACATAAATATTTTGTACTAGCTGTGATAAATTATTCTTCAATAAAATTTATTTCAAATAGTATGATGAAGTTTATTTTTCAGCAAACACATGATATATTTGTTCTCTGATTAATGTTAAGGGAGAAGAAAGCGTTGATTTGTTTCCATTGAAATTCAACTATGACTATATATTTTGGGTAGGTATTACAAGCTTCGTAAAATTTACAATTTAAAAATAAAAATAAAAATTAATAGTAATTAAAATTAAAGAAATAAAATAAAAACAGCAAAAACATAACAAATGTTTTTGGTAAGGATTTTGTGATTGGTTAAAGGAGTTTCTACTCACAGGACATATACCTATAGGAAAAGATCATTCTTTATGTATGCCTACTTTAATAATTAGAATGAAAAAAAAAACCATGAGGCTTTGAACATATGAATGAAATAATTCATGAAAAATATAATTTGGAGTATCTATGTATTCTTTTCTTTCATAAGATCAAACTTGCGAATGCGCAGCAAAATTTAAAGATGTTTTCTCAAGGTAGTAGGTTTATCAGCAATGGTGCAGGTAGGAAACATTGTATAGTGCTACTACCTTTACTTTTTATACTACAGCTAAACAAATATCACATTGACTATGGTAGTACAGACTAATATATGGTAACTGCTCATTCATGGTAACTTAGCATATCCAGAGTGAAGCTGCAGTAGCTTAATTTTTAGTGGGTAAGATACTTGTCTTCTAATGTCATGCTCCTGGGTTTAAATCCTGTCAGTGTTATAGGACTTTGTTATCACAACCAAAACAACCCCACCTTGCTCTCTATTATGGGACTTGGTTTATGTAGAACATTTTGTATGTATTTTGTGTTTGTCTTGTGAAGTGAAAGTTCTCCATTTTGAAATGTCTAGGCCCTTGAATAATTAATATAGAAAGCATGGGGGGGGGGCATTTTTTTCTTTGGACCCCAACTACCACACTTCTAATTCCAATTTTGATGAGCAACAAAAGTACAAGTTAAAAAACATTGTAAAACTGAGCCCATGGTGACTAAAATTATGGTACTGTATTCATAACCCAGTTTCTATTACTTTCCAATTGCACCTGATTACCCCCTCCCACAGACATTATCCCCCATGTAATTACCACTAGATATACTGCTATGGGTGGGGTTGCCTGACAGGAGTCCTACCTGTCCAACTTTACCCCCGCTTACGCTGTCACTGTATAGCACCGTAAACAAATACAATGCATTGAAAACATTCACAATAAGCAAAAGTAATTTTGAAGTTTGACATATTGATTCTTATTCTTTATTTGCCAAAAAAACAAAATACAATGGTGGAATATATAAGAATACAAATACAATAAATTTAATAAGTGGGCAGGGACACAAAAGCGAAATTAATCACTATAACAGAAAGTCTGTAAACCTTACTCATCATCCAGTTTAACATAAATACAATGTTATAAATAATAGGTCAATTATAATATAATAAAACAATATTAACAAAATACTAATCATTAAAGCTTGTAAGAAACCGACCAATCAAAGTCCAACCTATTTTTCGGTCACTGTTTCTGTGGGTTTTTTCGGCAGTTATTGCTTGAATTGGAACTTAGTCTCAGTGGATGCTAAACTAGAAGTGCAGAAATCAAAACACCCCAGATATACTAGTAGCGATAAAGGGATGGAAGTTGATTACTATTGTCAAGATTCTCAAGTGTTAATTGACAATACAACCAAGTACCATTATTCATTTCAGATTGCTTTCAAGAAACAAATGATTATGAGTTTTGTTCTACTCAAGGTAGTATCCAATTGATAAATACTATGTCGTATTCTGTCACATTATGTTTTTGTAACATTATTAAACAGAAAACTGTAAATTTGATGTAACTTGATGGCATTTATTAGAATGATAGACCAAAATAAAATATATTTAGAAAAGCCAAATTGTAAATAATGCATTAAACATTATAGCGTGATTAGATGATTCTCATGAACATTTCTTGGAGTAGAAGTTATACAATTTGGCGTGAAATATAATTTCAAGGTCATGTAATTTGTTGCTATGTGGAATTTTCTTATTGTAAAGAATAGGTTGATTCAGTCTCCATGCTTGGGCATCCACATGCACCCCCAAAACAATCACATAAACAGAAAGACTAATAAATGGTCTATCTAGTAGTACCTTACAAACTGATATGACCACCCAATTTGGGATCTGACCTCACAATTCAGGACTACTCTATAATTTTTTCAATCGTTTTATTTTTATGAATTATATGGATCATGTATATTTAGGCAGTTTAGATGAACTGATTAAGATTTATATCATTAGCAAGAAACCATATTTCTATAAACATTTGTTAACATTAGTAATTGTACCATATTGTACTTTATATTTATATATTCATTGAACAAATATACTATTCTATTAGATCCTCAGTATGTCAGTGCTCCAGCAGATGTACAGGTGAAAACTTCATCAACAAACAACGACACGTTGATAGAGATATCATGGCTACGTCCTGTTGGACCCAACGCACTCAAGACTAATTCGATTTCTATAATCACCACAGAACATGGGTTTTTGGATTATGCTGAAAAACGTACGATGGATTTCTTTTACCCTGATAAAGTAAGCAATTTTTTTAAACATGTTTTGACTGTTTTAATTATTGTAATAATAGTATGTTGGTCATATTGTTACAATGCAAAAAAAGCCTTTTTGTACTTCACAGCCAATTCGGTAAAATTAAATTGAAGACCTATGGAACATAATTATTCAGCTCTTTGGGGGCATTCTAGCATTTAATCTGTAATATGCATCAGTGACGATGCATTGGGTGTGGGGAAGGGTGCTTAAGCCAACCCATGGACATGCAAAGACCGACCCCTCCCCATTGGTCACAAAACAGACTAAAAGAAAATAAAAACAGATTTATCAATCAAACAAAGGATAAGGGGCATAATACAGCTGTCTCTATGCGCCCCTTTTGTTTGTGATGTTTTTGGATTGGTAGAACATATCAGAACAGCTTAATAAGGCTAATAAGGCTTAATAAGGAAAATATCATGCCCATATATGAGAAAACCACAAAATGTTACAGGAACGTGTGGACTAAGCATCAGGACTTATACCTACAATTATTCAACTGGAAATCTTTACTACTGTAATACAAGCCTCAGTATAATTAATGTATACTATACAAATTTGGTTTTTGAATATGAAATACTATAGGATTCAAGTCTATAACCTTGAACAATTAGGCTGTTTTACTGTATAATTTATACACTGCATAAACAAACAGAAAACTTGACAAGTAATTTGTATTTTATTGATATACAGATTTACTTGATGTAATCAGCTCTCTACGCATTAACTTGTCATGTTTAATGATTAATGTATCACATTTTTATAAGGTACCTATTTTGCAATACTGTATCTGATTTGCATAAATTTGCATTGCAGGCCACTGAAGATAATGAAGAAAGAATTTCCACCACGATTAGGCGACAACTTAAGTGGAATATAACCTATGATTTACGGGTAAAAAGAATATTAAAATGAATTATTATGACCAACCCATTAAAGTATTGTGTAGCACACTAGATTATACATCTTAATTTCTTTAGTAAATTGAGAATTTGATTCCTTTGAATTGGAATTTACATATTGAAGTATATTCTCAAGAGGTGCATATTTTTTAACTTGTATTAACATTATAAAATGTACTTATAAAGGGAAAGAAAATATTGCTGTGTTTGCCAAGCACAGTGACCTTTTTTGGAATTGAGGTCAGGCTGTCAAATTTTTTTTACCACATTGCCAAAAAATGCTGGCCACAGATTGTTGATATTTAGCTCAGTTAGGCATGGACAAAATATTTTTTGGCCTATGTGGCTACATTAAAACAAAATAATGGTAAAATTTTAAACACTACACCAAAAGCCTCCAAATCCAACTTGTAAATTTGCTCTTTCAACTATAGAGTCATTCCATATGAATCCAACACACTTTTTTGCCCGACCCCCTTCAAATCGCCCAATATTTTGCATGTTGGGGGTTCTACCTGAGATAACCCCACAGTGAGATTTTTGGCTCCGCGCCAGCATTTTCTGATGAGTTAGAGCAATTTGAAATTTTCATGAGATTTGGCTAAAAAAAACTCACTTTCTGACAGACAACTGCTGATATCTCTCTCGAACCTCAACGTATTGGGAAATTCTGGTACCGTTGGATAAAGAAGAAGATTCTCTTTCCAATGATATGCAACTTTATGATATCCGGACTAGTGAGAATTATATAGGTCAAGTCACGTGACCTTGACCTTTGACCCAAAATATCACAACAGTATATACCTTGATTTTTGGAAAATTCACACCTCAGTTAGGACACTTAGCCCAAATTGTGCCCCAAAATTTTCATTGTGGGCAAATGAAATATATTGGCTCTAGACTACATTTTGTGCCTAGGTGATAGTTTCACTGAGTTTCCAGGAAATCTGCTGATATTGTAGATTCTATAAAAATTGGCACCATAGTATAGTAAAAATCAGGGGCCCCGTGACCATTTTTCTGGGACCAAGGTTTCACTGCTGATTTAGCATCAATCACTAGGGTATAAATAAGAAATTGAGCGAGGGAGAACCTCCAGAAAAAGGGCGGAACATATTTCTTTGGCGGCCATTTTCAAAATGACCGACAAAATTATGATATTGACTTATAATTTCACTTATATCCAATGAAAAAGGGCAAATCTGCTGTCTAACTATATGTTATTATGGTCACTGAAGCCAATGAGACAGGTTTCGAAAAAGTAAAATGGCATCCATATTGAAACTCAAGATGGCCGCCTTAAAAATGTTAAAAAATGTATTTTTCAGTATAATTCCACATTTCCTCTATGGAAAATGGTAAATTTGGATCTAATCATATGATTTTGGGCTCTCTGAATACAATAAATATAGTTTCAAAAAGATAGGATGGTAGTCATCAATACGTTGAGTTTCAGGGGAGAGATATCAGCAGTTGTCTGTCAGAAAGTGAGTTTTTTAGCCAAATCTCATGAAAATTTCAAATTGCTCCAACTCATCAGAAAATGCTGGCGCGGAGCCAAAAATCTCACTGTGGGGTTATCTCTGGTAGAACCCCCAACATGCAAAATATTGGGTGATTTGAAGGGGGTCGGGCAAAAAAGTGTGTTGGATTCATATGGAATGACTCTATATAATTCTAACTTTCAACTATATATTATGCTAATACAGTACTAACAATCTAGTGATTCAGGATATTAAATAATCCAAATAATCTTAGGAAGGAACAGGAGAAGCACAGGGCCATGTTAAACACAACACGTTCCTTCTCCTGAAATCGTAAACGGTTAAGTTATTACAAAATTACACGAGATAATTAAAATAACAGTTGTAGTGATTGAATTTTAATGATTGTTGCATAGTAAATTGTATAAACCCAGTGGTTTAAAAAAGTATCTTTGATTAAAATTTAAACTAATACATAAATTGTCTAAAGCAATTTACAATTTCCTTTTATTTATATTTTTCAATTATAATTACATGATTGAAATAATTAATCTGTACTTACAATATTATTGGTATCAATATTTTGTGGTTTCTTTCAGTTGATTGCATTAAACAAAGAAGGAAAACAAAGCATTCCTACTGACGTATCGTTCATTGCCCCCACACCTCCACCCCCTGTTACAGAAGATAGGTCTATGCCTACAGGTGAGCAATAAATGAGACTATCTTTGAATAGTCAAGATTACCATTAGGATTACTATTAACTAGAATTAATAAACTTATTGCCGATTAATACATTAAAAAAACATGGAAAAACCTAAACAATAATTATTTAATAACATTCAATTGTTCTGTTAAATTACTTAAGGTTTAAGCTTATGGCACAGAATGAGACGCAGTTTAAAACGATTCAGCTTTCATTGACTTTTCATTAATATTAATAATTGGGTAGTGCAAAATACTTGGTCTTTATGTTCTATGAATGGTTTACACTTAAATGCAAATAATCAATCTTAATTAGAATAGCATGGAATGCAATACGCCTCCCCAAAAACAGACAATATCAAAGAAACCAACACAAACCTCCTTCAAAGTCAAAGATAAATGTTGTAACACAAGTTAAGTAAGTTAACTTACTTCCTAATAATATTTTAAGATAATTTTAAATAAATTGCCACTAACTCCGTTAAGTAAAGTTAACTTACTCCTAATGTTTTAAGATAAAATTTTAAATAAAGTGCCACTAACTCCGGTTAAGTAAGTTAATTTAAATCCTAATGTTTTAAGATAATTTTAAATAAAGTGCCACTAACTCCTGGTTATAATAAATTCTAATTGTTTTACCAGTAACAATATGTCCATCTCTATTTGCAAAGTTTGTTCAAAAGAGTGAACTGGTGGACAGGCTCTTTCACAAGAAGGCTAAAGGAAACACATTTCAAAACTCTGCCTAGTGTCTTTTCAAGACTCTGGGAAGAACTGTTTCCTCCAATTCAAAAATATTTACCTATCCTACTATCACACAATGAAACCAGTACTTTTACATTGAGCATGCTGTCAATAAAAAAGTTTAAATAAACAATGATTAACTGTTGATAGTTTAGCTTTTAATACATTTTAGTACTTTTATAATTGGTTTTTTTTTATGAATATAAGCCTGTAATACATAGGTTGTGGAGCATTGTTTTGTCTTACACTTTCCCATTCTATAACTAAATTGCCAAATTGTTGGATTGTTAAAGATTAAGTTTAATCAAAGATTAAGATGTATGAGATTGAATAAGACTGTTAAAATTAAAGATAATAAAGATTATTAAAGATGTGGATAGTTGAAAATTAAAGATTATTAAAAATTAGATTATTAAGTTTAAAAAGATTATTATATTCTATCACAGTATGGTGATTAATTTACTGACTGTACACAATCATACAATTTTGTACGCAGGCTAATAACTGCTTAAGGATTCATAACTATCATCTTCCATAGCTTATTAAATATTATTAAAGATTAAGATTATTAAAGATTTAACATTATAAACAATTATTAGTATTTTTTATTATATATTGAGATTAATAAAGATTGAGATTGGTGAAAATTAAGATTCACAAATTTATTTATTCCATCACATAGGCCCTATGTACTGTATGGTATTAGTATTGCTTTGCTGGTACACACTATTCTTCTATTATAACGGCAACTACTTTCATATCTCCCTCACCATACATATTATTTTTTTTACGAGGCTTACAATTATGAATATATAGACTACTGTAACGTTTTTGATGAATAAATGCCAAATAACCATTATATTGTGCTCTAAAACTACATTTTTGGTACATCCTAAACCACAAAATTTCTCCCCAGGATCCCAAGGGAATTCATCTTCGGCTTCCTGACCGAAGCTGTAGGCAACCCCTTGGTTTTGATACCCCTGTCGGAATTGCTGGACCTCCTGTTGGAAAATTTGTGCAGCCATCTATGCCTTCAAGCTCCTACATCATGCACACAAACAGATAAATCAAATATGCAATTTGGTATTAAGTAGAAAGATAATGTCATAGATCAATTAGGATTCGAACCCAAGACCTCCCAGTTGTTAGGCCTACTTATATTTCAAACATAGATTACGAGATAAAGAGTCCATTACTTAGAAAAAGGGCACACAAAACTATAAAGCACGATCAAAATGGCCCGTATTGGGTCACCTGTACTGTAGGTATGGTCTGGGACTGCGCCAGGTCTGGGGCAGGTGGAGACCTATACTGTTTGCCATCACATCTTATTAATTAATTAATTCATTTTAATGTTCAATACTTTTTTGTTGAATAAGCACATGAAATATGTAATATACAGTTAAACAATTAGAATTTCATAATAAGTATAATTATTATTATTATTGTCATTCTTGCCTTCAGCATCGTAATAATTTTCATCACTATGTAATCGCTTACTACAATCAATATCCAAACAAAATTTCCAGATACTATACATTCTCCAACCAGCCTACTGTACTAAGAGACATGATGTTTGCGTATCTTAATTATTCAAACATACTGATTATGCCATATTTGTATCATGAATACCATGTCCTTCAAGATATTTATATGCTTCCTGGAAACCTTGCAAGTGGAAAAGTCTTTTTTTCCTCAAAACCTGCTCACATGGCTGGGTGCCATTTGGCGAGGAACATTGCCAAAAATTTCATCCTGTTTGTGAAGTATTAGATTTTAGATTTCAATAAAATATAACAGTGAGAAAAAAAAAATCCCATACCCATTTTTGATGTTCATCAATTCTGATGTTGTTTGCAATTTTTTGTTTTCTTTGAATGGATTTGATATATTTTGTTTTCTTTAATCTTTGTACTGCAATAATTTCAGACTTGTTTTGCTTTTTGTACTTTTTACCGTATACCTGAATAAATAAATAAACAAAAAAAATACAAAAAATAGCGAATTACGGTAATAGTAGAGTTTCCTCTTTCATAGACCATTAAATTAGCTGGCTAAAGTCAAGTTATGAATTTTGGTCATTAAAACACCTTTAAATCAATGAAAAAATAATTGTTTTCATCTGTATTTACTGAAAGTCATTAATTTACAAAATACTTTGGACGTACTATGATTTTTGAATGAACTTTTGATGGGGTTTCACCTATACTTCAACACAAACGGTAATCTAATAATAAACACAGCTGTGGCGATAAAATGTTGTGTATAATTTATTCTGTATTCAATGATCATAAACTAAAGAGCTTTAAGGCTGCTTAAATAAAGTGTTATAATACAGTTATCCATTAAAATATGGTAAAGTAAGAAATCAATAAATATTAAAAAGTACAAACTCAATTAAGTGATTTTAGAATATTTACACTATTACAAAAATTATATATATTAAACAGACTTAAGTATTATTATATTAACTTTTAATTGTACAGAATATTGTATCTGATTTTTAATAAGCTATATTGTTTAATGTTCAAGAGCATGAGAGGTGTCATGAGAAAGAGTAGTGTAGAGTGTAGTGTGAACATTTTTTTAAGTAGTTTTCTCTTGATCTGCTGCCAAAGCTCTGTCCACATTAGCAGTGAAAATTAGCTTTGATTTTCCTATAATGGGTATAATATGACATTATCATGCACATGCAGACACATCATACAAATTTGTCCCATAAAATTTGATAGTGTGGACAGAGCTTTATTTATTCTTATCCGGGCCTATTCAATGGTTTAAAAATTGAATTTCTATATTATGACTGTTGACACATCTTTAGAACTGACTTGGAGACTAGAAAGATGTATTTTTAATGATTCAAGATTCATTATAGCCACAATTGTAATACTAAACAAATCGTGTCTTATCTATAGTTTATTTTATGAACTTTATTCCCATGATGATATCATAAATCACTTTTTTATTTCTTCAAAGCCGGTGAAGGAAACCATACATCAACTATCTACATCATCCTGATTGTTCTTTTCGCTGTAATTATTGCTTGTACGTCAATCTCCTGCGGTTATTACGTTCGCTACAAACGTTTGCACACAGCCCCACAATTCAAGCGGGATCCTGACACTATAAGCGTGTCGAAGGGAATTGTTGGTAAGATTGAAATATTACAAAATCAATAATTCACTTAGTTAACTGTACAACAGCCATTAGATGACTCCAAATTGATTGTGCGTATCTTCTCACATGCTTAATAACCCTACCTTCTGTAACTAATAGTTAACAGTGTTTGCCAAGTACCAGTTTACTATTAAGAGCGCTGTTTGTTTAGCTGTATATAAACATTACATGACCAGCTGAATAAAGCGTCCAGTGACTGAGGAAATTTTGTACACATAAACTAGAGTTTATGTGTACTTTCATGTTTATTTCTAAGTTGGACCCCAGGTTTCCCCCAACACCTAAAAAAACAAAACAGGGGTTTCAGCAAGGACTGTACATTACTGATGTTACCACATAGGACGAAGCATGTGTTCTAAGAAAATTAAAGCCACTTTCCCCGCAAAATTTCACTGAAGAAAAAATGCATATGCATTATATTGGCATGAATTTTAGTTTTACACAAAAGGGTACAGAAAAAAAATAGACTATTTCTCATAAAATATTACCATTTTCTTGACGACTTCTTTGTTAATAGGCAAATTCAGAGGTTGTAGATCGCATCTGCTGAAATGCTCTCATTTTTGTGTAAACATACTGTACTTTATTCGGTACTAGACTACATCTATCAGCCACGAGGAACATTGTTTTAAATATTCATTTCAATAACTATTTCGTCATCAGCAAATTATGCATGACTCGTACTGTACAATGGATCGACTCAACACAGGTTTCTGTGATCGGCTTCACACAAATATCTCGGGAATTTTGATGAATTGGATTTAGTGTTTCGTGTACAAAATAAGTATTAGGCCTAGGCTATACCAATATAGTAATTGGCTAAAAACAACTTTTAAATAAAAATGTGACAAATAAATTTTGGAGCAGATTTACTGTAGTTTCAGTTTTATTAAATCAATGTATTCGTGTTGTACAGCCAGTGTAAGCATGGGGTACAGTTCTTGGGCGGGGGGATCCCTACAAGAAAGGTGTCATGCATGTGCATATGACTATGATCGGACCAAATGGTTTTAGGGGCGTTATTTAGGACTAAAATAGAAGCAATCACTGCAAAGGCGTTAGGGTAGCACTAACTATCGTATGACAAAGTAATATCTAAAACTTTTAAATAATGTGACCAAGGACTTTTGATGTGACAAATATATTATTTTGGAACAGATTTATTAAAAGTTTTATTTCATTACTGTAATCTTGAGTTAAAACCATTAAAGAATTGGAAATGTATTGAATTGAATACAGTATAAAAAGGATCGAGAAATATACTGATATTGTTGGGTTCCCTATTTCCATGCGCGTACTGTTCCATCTCGCGCTCGCAGTCACAAGTCTAGGTCAGAGCAAAGATGGTCACAGTGTACAGTTTTCATCATGGACGACCCCAGTGAGGATTTAAGACAATTTTAGCTGGTTTAGCAGTATTAGGTTGGCAAATGATTATATTAAAACGTATGAGGAGTCAACCAATACTCATTTTATATTATTATTGTTATTATTATTATTATTATTATTATTATTATTATTATTATTATTAGGTAGCTTATTTCTATTTTCTGTGAGTAGAGTAGACTTCTCAGTAAAAAGCACTGTTCTTTTAAGTGGCCCCACAATACTGTCAAATATACAGAATAAAATAAACTACAGTAAATCTTAATCTATTATCTTATGAATTTTAAGTAAAAGAGAGACTAGTACGATTTTATTTTGTCGAATTACTTCTTTATTGAGATTCTATCTTGTCGAATTAATTCGGCTTGAGACATTAACAACTTGATTTTCTCGCTATGGAAATGTACTATGAATTTAATTAATTGTATTAAGTTTTAAATACCATCATTTTCACGTGATATGTTTGCTTTTGGTAGGTCCTTACCAATTACTTTATAAGTTTTAATTAGTCATTAATTATTCATAGATAGACAACAGATCAACACGTTATAGCTAATAAAGAACTAAAATCAGAGGTTCATAGCCACCTCTTTTTTGCAATCCACCCATCATTGCTAGACAACAGCCACCTACATTGATTTTGACTTCATCTAAATTACCTTCACTCACCCACAAGTATGGCAACACACCATGTTTGAAACCCAGATGCAAACTTTGCAACATTATGTGTATAAGAGACAGACCTAGGCCTATGTATTTATCGCGTCTGTTAACATATTTCAATCTAGTATGTCATGGTCCCTGACCCTTTTAGGTTCACTTGGATAGGCTCATCTTCATAAAAGACTTCTATGAATGGATATCTTGTTTGAAGCAAGAAACCAAGTGGTCTTTATCCAGTACCGCTCGTTTATTTTATTCATGTGGGAAACTTTTAACATAACTTTCACCACTATATATTTCCAGATATATAAATAATATCTGCCATAATTTTTGGGAAGAATTTGCATTTTTCTACAGAGGTCAATGACCTTTTGACCTTTAGATACGTCAATTTCTGCACATGTTTTAAATATGAATGGCTGAAAAATCTACAGGCTACATGTTAATACCAACATCATGCAAATCTATCCAATAAATCATGAGTAATGAACCTAAATGTTAACCCCAACCCCCCTTCCCCAAACATCGCCATTGATTACACAAGTAATCAAAAATGACAGTAATACATTTAATCAATTTATACATTTTTCTTGTTAATATCATTTTTGATATTCCATATGCTTATTAATAATAGAAAATACTAATTGGTATCAAATCTACTCACAACTGTAGATTTTTAAACGTTTGTGTGTGAATTGGGAATAAATATACAACTTTTCTGTGTAGGTCAATGACCTTTTGACCTCTAGTTGCGTCAATTTCTGCCAATTTCAAAACTTTTTAAATTTGAATGATTGAACAATCTATAGGCTAAATGTTGATATCAACATCATACAAATCCATTTAGTAAATCAAGAGTTATGAGCATTTAATGTTATCCCCTACCCCACAAACTGTTGTTGATTACAAATAAGATTATAACAAAATGACAGTAGTACATTTAATCAATTTATACATTTTCTTGTTAATATCATTGTTTTTTATTCCATATGCATATTTATAATAGAAAATACTAATTGGTATCAAATCTACTTACAACTGTAGATTTGTAAACATTTGTGAGTGAATTGGTAATAAATTTACAACTTTTCTGTGGAGGTAAATGACCTTTTGACCTCTAGTTACATCAATTTTGGCCTGTTTCAATTTTTTTCAATTTGAATGACTGACCAATCTATAGGCTAAATGTTCATACCAACATCATACAAATTCATTGACTAAATCAAGAGTTATGAGCATAAATGTTGCCCCCTACCCCAAAAACTGTTGTGGATTACAAATTTCTCGGATCATAAACATTGATAATAGTACATACCGGTAATGCATTTTAATTTTTTTCTTGTTAACCTCAATTTTTGTATTCCATATGTTAATAACTACAAGAAAAACACAATTTGTATTAAATACATCCAAAATTAGACATATGGCACTGAAGTTTATTGACATTTTATGAAAAAATTTGCATTTTAGAAAAAGATCGATGACCTTTTGACCTATAGTGACGTTAATAATTGTCGGATTAATTTTATTTAAACTGCATGATTAAGCAACATACATGCTACACATTGCTACCAAAATAACATTGATGAGATTTTTAATTCACAGGTTATGGGCATAAATGTTACCCCTCCCAACAAAAAAAGTATTGACCATAAAACACTAACGACTATTACAAATGACGCGAGTACATACAATGCATCCTTATATTTTTCTTGTTAACATCAATTTTTTTGTTCTATATATGCCCATAGGAAAAAAATGATACCAAGGAAGTTTAACTGTGCGAGGGGTGCACGGTGACCCCCCCTCCAGCCCATGGCCTATTAGGCCTAGGCTGCACTGTGAGTGTGTTAAGCCTTGACCAGGGCCCGGAACAGGGAGTTGTTATGCCTTGACTATATATCTCTATAGTCAAGTACTGTAGGTAGGCTAATAAAGTAAAAAATAACCCTTAACGGTACTGATTGCTCAACTTGTGAAACAGGTTGGTATGGTACCAGGCCTGTATGGTACATCCTAATGCAGTACGTAATAATAATATATTATATGATGACCATTATCCTCAGCACAACTACAAACATCCCATAATTTAATTTCGGATTTAAAATCACTGTAAAATAATTCTCTTGCAACGAATGGCGAGATTCATTTTTTTTTTTTTCATGCTGCGATAGCATTTGCCATAAATAATATTCTTGACTTAGACCTAAAAAGTACCTCAGCTGGCGACGACTCCACTGATTGGAGCAATATGCACGTCATGAAGGTACCGTACCTTGACTAGGGCCCAGAGCAGGGAAGGAGTTGTTATGCCTCGATTTGCCGAAACATGTCTGTTTTATAGTATACCAAGTTTTGATAATAAAATTCATTAGGCTTTGCCTATATGGTATTGAGGTTGAAAATTATTGTGGTATTCTTAAGATA